ATAGAAGATCTAAGCCCCTTTGATTTTGTAGGGCTACCTCAGGCAAAGAGTCTAGTGAAGATTCAAGATGAGTTATAGATTTCTCTAACTCTGCTAGGCTACCATCCACCTGTCTGCTTAGGATCTTGAAATTTTGTTGACTGGTGACCAGGGTCAATGTTCCAACTGCAGTGGAGTCTGCAATCCCTAATCCAATCAGCAAAGGGACCAGTACTGGGGCTCTCTTCTCTCTGCAGAGGGATCCCAGATGTTCCCTTCCACTTTCCCCAAAATAATAGCACACCTGAGGTATTACATGTACTAGTACACACAGTTCTGTCTAATTGGACTTATTGAGTCCCACATTTGAAAGGAAAGGAGTTGCCAGCACTGTGGCTCAATAGGTTAATCCTCTGCCTTGTAGCGCTGGCACACCGGGTTCTAGGCCTGGTCGGGGCTCCGGATTCTGTCCCGGTTGCCCTTCTTCCAGGCCAGCTCTCTGCTGTGGCCCAGAAGTGCAGTGGAGGATGGCCCAAGTGCTTGGGCCCTGCACCCCATGGGAGACCAGGAGAAGCACCTGGCTCCTGCCTTCGGATTAGCACAGTGCGCCAGCCACAGCGTGCTGGCTGCAGCGACCATTGGAGGGTGAACCAACAGCAAAGGAAGACCTTTCTCTGTCTGTCTCTCTCTTCACTGTCCACTCTGCCTGTCCAAAAAAAAAAAAAAAAAACACAACGTGGTTTCACTTCACCTCAGTTAGAATCACACACACACACACACACACACACAAACAATAAATGTTAGTGAGAATGTGAGGAGAAAAGTTCCCTAATACACATTTGGTGGCAATATAATTTATACAACCATCACTAGAGACAGTGTAGAGATTCCTCTACAATCTGAGAAAGATCTACAATATGACCTAGCCATCCCACTCCTGGGAATGTATGCAAAGGAAGTGAAATCAGCATAATTGAGTTATCTGTGTCCCCATGTTTACTGCAGCTCAGTTCACAATAACTAAGATTGGAATCAACCCAGATGCCAATCAACTGATAACTGAATAAAGAAATAATGTCTTTTGCCATAAAATGGATGCACCTGGAAACCATTATGATCAGTGGGATAAGCCAGCCTCAAAAAATACAAACATCCTGATTTCCATGATATGTGGTTACTAATATATAGCGTCCAAAAATGTTATGTATAGGAGTGAAATTGACAATTCAGATTATTGTTTATAGCTCTTTCTATACTCTTCAGGAACAGTAAGTTTCCTTCTATTATTTGTTGAATCCTTTACTTTGTGGAGGGTTAAGCTTGTGATTATAACATAAACTGAAAGTATGTCCTTGTAAAAATTAAACTAATAATGAAGGAGGGAGGAAGCTATGAGCCTGGGCAGGAGAGAGGTTAGGGTAGATCACTATGCTCCAAAATCTGAATATATGAAATGCACAAAATTTATTCCCCTTATATAAATAAAATGTAAAAATCAGTAAATAAATCAAAAGGAAATAAAGATAACAATTCAATTTCAAAATCATAAAAGGGAATAAAATACTTAGAAATAAACTTAACCAAGGAAATAAAATATCTAAATGTTGAAAACTATGTCACACAAATAAATGTAAATATATCCTGTGTTCATGGATTATAAAATATATAATATAAGAAATCAATATGATCCTAGTGATCCTTAGATTCAAATCATTCTTTATAGTATCCTAATAGTTATTTTTAGAAAAAAAATTAAAAAAACTATACAGAAAATTCATATGGAATGTCAAAGGATCTAAATAGCCCAAATATCTTGAAGAGTTTCCCCTATGCTCTTGATTAATTTGATGGTGTCGTGGCATAGATTTAGATCTTTAATGCATGTTGAGTGGATTTTTGGTCTTGTTTCATACTTCAACAAGTGATTTAATTCCATATTTCTTGTTTGATACTGCCCTAATTCAAATTAATTGAATACATACTTAAAGAAATATTTCATTTTTGTTACATGAAACAATTTAAAAGATGTATTAATCATCAATTTAAGATAAAGTATTGCCTCCTAATCACTCCACTTAGAATGACAAAATGCCAATATACTTATTTCCAGATTATGTTTGTCTTAATAAACTCCTTCCAAAGATCATATTATTAGTTGCAATACTAATTTAATACCCCTTAACCTTATACACCAAGAAAGATGATGTTTTGAGTTTATTTTTATTGACAATAATTATATATACCTATTGGCTACAGTGTGAGATTTTAATTGATGCATGCAATGTGTACTGAACAAAGCATGGTAAACAACATTTTCCCTTCTCTGAAATTACACTTCATGATCACAGCCTTTGAGCACCTTTCCTGTTTGTTTATAAAATATAGAATAGATTACTATTCTAGTAATACTATTAGTATTAGTAATACTAATAGTATTACTATTCTAGTCACACAACCATGCTATGTAACACTAGGAACTCACCCCTACCATCCAACTCATCTATCATCTAACTTCTCCAAAAAGAGAGGAGCCCTCCAAGTAGTTTTTAAAAATTATGTAATTAATTAGTTTTAAGGAAAAAGAGACACATAGAGAAACAGAGAGGGAGAGAGAGCACTCTCACCCACTGGTTCACTTCACAAATGCCTACAACAACTATGGTTGTGACAGACCTCAACAATGATTTAGGAATAACATCAAAAGCACAGGTGACAAAAGAAAAATAAAGAAGTAGGACTGCAAAAAAAAACATAAAAAAAATTATGTGTACTAAAGGGAAAGCTGAAAAGTGAAAGCAAGGAATAGGAGAAAATATTGGTAAACCATAGTATGATTAAAGGAATAATACAAAGAACTTACACAACTCAAAGGGAAATACTGTAATAAAAATGGACAAAGGATCTGATCAGTTTTTCCACAAGAAGCCAATAGGTATTTGAAAAGGGGCTCTCAGCACTGCCAATCAAGAGCACAATGGTTATGATCTCACATATGTAAAAATGGCTATTATCAAAAAGTAGAAACTATAAGTACTGAACCAGAATTGGAGAAAGGGAACAGATAAATTCTTTTTGGGAATGTAACCTGATATACTTACTATGAAATACACTACAGAGTTGCCTCAAACAAAATTAAAAATGGAACTAATAAATGATAAAGCGGTCCCATAATTGGATGCGTATCTAAATAAAATTAATATCTCAAAGACACATCTGCACATCCATGTTCATGTGAGCACTATTCACAAGAACTAGATATATAAATACATTGTCTATCAAAATGAATAGAGAAAATGCCACACACTCACACACACACACACACACACGAATCACATTCAACCTTAAAAAAGAAATCCTGACATTTTGTCATAACCTGGATTCAAAAGTATGAATGTGGACATTAAGTTGATTGAAGTATGACACAGAAAGATAAATCTCTCACACTTTCCTTTATTTGTGGAACCTAATAAAATCAAATTTAAGAACAGATCATAGTAATGTGGTTTCCAGGGGCTGAGAGTGAAGGAAATGGTAAGATATTAGTTGAATGACACCCATTTATCACTAGGAGATAAATTAACTCCTTGAGACATAATACACAGCACAGAATCAAAATGAATACACTACTGGGTACTCACACTTGTAAAGATATTAATTATTCTTTTAAAAACTGTGTAAGGTGAAGGACTTGTTAGGTTGATTGTCCTAGTCATTTCGTAATGTACATGCACAAGGGAACTCCAAAAGATTTGTGAAAAACTAGATTAAAAGATAAAGGGAATTTTCCATAAACTTTTAAAAAAGTCCCCTTACAAATCAAAATATCAGGTTGCAGGCCTCGAATACATACAAATTTTGTTTGTCAATTATACTCCAATAACCTTGAAAAAATCACCCTACATCAAAATTAAAATTAACTTAGGAATCTAGATTGATATCTTTGTGGTTGGAAAGACATGGTGGAACAGAAACAGTTTTAAAACACTCGTAAATGTGGCTACCTAAAATTTCCAACTTTAAAGTACAGAGACACATCGCAGTCTGTCTAGCGAACATATAAATGCTAAGATGACATCGAGGTAGCAAAATACAACGTCCTCGTGACCCCCTAAAACCTAGACTAAAACCCTGACTGAAATAAAGCTGCTTTGGTTAACTTACCTGGTCTGTGCCTGTGTGATGGCTCTGAGCAGAAACGGGACAGGATGCATGGAATCGCGGGTGCCAGTCCAGCCCCCATACTGCAGTCCAGCCCCCATGCTGGCTCCACACTGAGGGAAGGGTCGTGCTGTGAGCAGGAACAGGACAGGAAGCCTGGAGTCCCGGGTGCCAGTCCAGCCCCCATCCTGGCCCCACACTGAGGGCAGGGTCGAGCTGTGAGCAGGAATGGGACAGGATGCCTGGAGTCCCTGGTGCCAGTCCAGCCCCCATCCTGCAGACCAGCCCCCACACTGAGGGCAGGGTTGAGCTGTGAGTAGGAATGGGACAGGATGCCTGGAGTCCCTGGTGCCAGTCCAGCCACCATCCTGCAGTCCAGCCTCCACACTGGCCCCACACAGAGGGAAGAGTCATGCCAGCAACAGAGGGCCCATAGACCCCAGATCCGACCTCTGGGAAGCCCGCATCCCACCAGCCTTTTCTAGCAACGTCCACCTGCTCCCCTTCCCTGCTCCTCAGACCTGGCCCCACACACTCACCATGTCCCGGGTCCGAGGGGGTGGTGTCCTGCGATGGAAGAGGGGCAGAGAACAGACAGAGCAGCGGACGCCGGCTACCCGCAGTGTTCCGAGTGCTGGAGCCCCCTCCTGGGGCTTCTCTCCTCAGTGGAACGGGAGGACTACTATGGCGTCAACATCCCGCGTGATCTGATTGCATAGCTTGCATACCAGGGGCAGCATCACGCCATAAAAGACGCAGCCAATCAACATCCTCCATAGCATTGACGTATAACTTCAGGTCTTTCTGGATGGGAAAACAAGAGGGAGTTTGGATTCATTTCTGACACTAGGACCTCCTGAGCTCCACCTCCCTGCGGTGGGCGCGGGGGAATTCTCTCTTCTCTTCTCTGGTCCTGCCAGCCGCTGGATCCCTCCTGCATCTTCCTGAGTGGCTTCTGCTTGGGGGTTGAACGTAATTCAGGTCAGCTACAATTTAATGGCTGTTTATTGACTTAAGAGGCTTTGTTTTTTTATCATATATGTGACACTTTTCGTCTAATGAATCTTCTATGCTATTTTTAATATTGATTTAAAGAATGTTTTTTTTTATTTATTTTTTTTTTTATTTTTATTTTTTTGACAGGCAGAGTGGACAGTGAGAGAGAGAGACAGAGAGAAAGGTCTTCCTTTGCCGTTGGTTCACCCTCCAATGGCCGCCGCGTAATTTAATCCTTTTTTCCAATTTTACTTGCACATTTATTTCTAGTTTGCCTGTTGTCCTTTAATATTATTTTCTATTTGCTTCTTCCTGGTACTTAGTAGAAACACACACACACACACACACACACACACACAATCTTTCCAGTAATCTCATTTATCAATTGTATTTGTTTTTAGTTTTTCCTGGATTATCTCTGTATATAAACCTCATCCAATATATTCACATTTTACAACTTATAAATTGATCTTTACACCATATAATTTCTTCTTGCTGTTTTATTTCCCTTACTGCCCTTGAAGTAGAAAGCTCGAGAGAGTGCAGGAATCGTGGTCTAAGTTTACTCCCAGGGAGAAAAAGCTTCAACGATGCTGTATTACTTGTGTTGTTGGCTGTAGGTTCATTTCACTCTTGATCGGAGTAACGAAGTCACTGGCTTTTTTGTTCTGCAGGCAGTTTTCTTTTTTACTAGATGCTGAACTTTATTAAAGCCTTCCAACATGTAATCTAAATGACCATGTGATTTTCTTCTTATGTTTTTTACCTACTTGGATGACTTGTCTGAGAATCTTTACCACTCTTGTGTGTTTTATTAAGCCCTGCTTGCTATTGATATATTTTTATGTTATTTCATTTATTATATTAGTACTTTGCTGCAGATATCTGTAGCTATGTTTATGAAAGGGATGCTTTTAATAAAACTTAATGTTTATTTCAAGTCCTGGTCTGCTTGCATCATCCTCACTGCAATGCAGGTGTTCCAAAAGAAACCAAGAAAAAAGCTCTACTTAGTTGCACTTTGGGTGAAACGTAGATTTGTTTTGCCTTCTCTAAAATTTTGGAGTATTCTGTAATTCTGGATCTGAAATTTTGATTCTGTGACTTTTTTCTTGATTGTTTGTTTGGAATTTTCAAAGTATGACTTAACTTGCCTGATTTATATAGTTTTCCTACTTTATGTTATATTTGTTTTTTGCAAATTTGATTTTCAATATAGGGAAGATTTTGATTCCTGTAGTGAAATGTTACTTCTAAGAATTTCATACCTTTCTCCTAGCGCCTTGGTCAAAATTATAACCTACAAAGGAATGATTCTGTTTTAATTCCTAAACTGGTTATTTGTGTTACTTTCCCCATGGGTTCCTTAATCGTTTTTCCTAATGGTTTATTAACTTTGTTAATATTTTTCTTAAAAAAATTCATTGTGTCCTTGTTTATTTGTGATACATTTTATAGCACTTCATAGATGTCTGCTGTTTTCTTTTTTCTTGCTTTTCTTCAATACTTTTTGATTTTTTTCTTTATAATTCTTAACAAGGAAGCTGTAATGATGATTTTGAGTATTTTATTCTATTGTAATCATTTGACTATAAATTATTTCTGAGCACTCATTTACTGCATCCTCAGTGTTCCTTCAGGTGTTTCTAACACCTGTGTGTGCAAGCCGTGTCTGTCTCCCAGTATCCCTAATTCCATGTACCTGCAGCCATCACAGGTTACATGTGTCTCCAGGTCTGAAACCCATATGTACTGATTGGTAGATTAGTGCTTCAGTCATTAGAGGCCCATTCCTTACACTTGTGTGCCCAGTTAATCACAGCCCATCAACTACCCTTTCCAAGTCTGCAAAAGGACTATGGCCCCTTAAAATATATCACATCTTAATTTCTTTTAGAGAAGCAGATACAATTTCCCAGACAGCCCAAGTTAGACATTTCCACAGAAACTACTGACAACATTGAAGTGTCAGCTTTGATATCAACCTTTCATATCAAATAGAACTGCTCTGATTGTCAGGTGATTTTCTTTACAGGGCTGCCTGTTCATTGCCAATTTGTGTCGATACTAATGAGAGTCATATATCTTATTTTTCTATTAATTCTCATGACATTCTGGAGTGGCATGAATGGCAAAATTCTGTCCTCATTTGAAGAAGGTGGCAAAAATTATATCTTTGTGTAAAAATAGTTCAAGTTTTTGAAGTGCTCTGGGTAAAAAATAAAATAATGTCCCAGTGCTTTGGCCAGAATAGTTGAAAGTCCTCAGTAATGGATAATACATGATCTTAAAACAGAATAATGGAGAGTAAATTTCAATAAGGAAGCTGGGAAAAGATCATTTAAGCTGAAGAAGTGAACAACAAATTTAGATATTTTAATGAAGGGAAGAAAAATGCAGGTGTATAATCAAAGGATAAAGGAGGACTGAGCTGGAAGATGAAGAAAAAAATGAAACATGGTTACTGTAGTTAATAACAATGTATTGGCTGGCACTGCTGCTCACCAGGCTAATCCTCAGCCTGCAGTGCCAGCACCCCGGGTTCTAGTCCCAGGTGGGGCACCAGTTCTGTCCTGGTTGCCCCTCTTCCAGTCCAGCTCTCTGCTGTGGCCCGGGAGTGCAGTGGAGGATGGCCCAAGTCCCTGGGCCCTGCACCTGCATGGGAGACCAGGAGGAAGCACCTGGGTCATGGCTTCAGAACGGTGCAGCGCCAGGTGTAGCAGCCAATTGGGGGGTGAACCAATGGAAGGAAGATGTTTCTCTCTCTCTCTCTCTCTCTCTCTCTCTCTCTCTCTAACTCTGCCTGTCAAAAAAACAAAAAAGAAAAAAGATTATTTTAGTTCAAAAACACTTGAATCCATATACAGATTTTTGTAATACACATTTCAATGAGTTTTTAAAGATCCCTTAATGACTGCACCGCGGCGGCCATTGGAGGGTGAACCAACGGCAAAGGAAGACCTTTCTCTCTGCCTCTCTCTCTCACTGTCCACTCTGCCTGTCAAAAAAAAAAATCCTTCATATTCATGAATTTCAAATTATCTTGCACCAAAATAAACTTACCTTTGAATTCCATTCACCTCAGACTTTTCAAAATATCTATTGTGAATAATAAATGGATATATAATGTATATATTTTAATTTTTATTTTAATTGAAATCTATTTTTATTTTTTCAAATAAATAAATAAGAAACATAAAATGAGACTGTTGGTGGATTTTAAGCATGGAGATCTTTTTCTGTTTGTGATGGTTTTAAGAGATCACTTATCAGCTGGCACCGCAGCTCAATAGGCTAATCCTCCACCTGCGGTGCTGGCACTCCAGGTTCTAGTCCCGGTCAGGGCGCTGGATTCTGTCCCAGTTGTTCCTCTTCCAGTCCAGCTCTCTGCTGTGGCCCAGGAGTGCAGTGGAGGATGGCCCAAGTGCTTGGGCCCTGCACCCACGTGGGAGACCAGGAGAAGCACCTGGCTCCTGGCTTCAGATCGGCACAGTGCGCCGGCCACACCACGCCGGCCGTAGTGGCCACTGAGGGGTGAACCAATGGAAAAAAGGAAGAAAAAGAAAAAAAAGAGATCACTTATCTTTTAGACACTGGACTACAGGATCCAGTTTGGAGACTAATCTCTTTGGGTGCACCAACAACGACCTATCTGTTTTTTTCTGGTGGAGATTTGAATTTTGACCTCCAACTTTTTCCTACTTATTTGTTGATTGATTGTTGCCATAAAAAACACTGGAAGGAACATCATATGAAGATGTCTGTGTCTGTTCCTGGCAGACCAACTCTTGTAGCAGTGCAATGTGTGATGCACATATTGCATATACACATTGTCTTCGAGTCAAACATGTTCAATTTGAACCCATAAAGACTTGTATTCCTGTTTCAAGGATATTCAAGAAATTGACTGAAATAGTCAAAGGCAACCCAAGAGAATTCAGACAAAAAGTAGAGAATGAGGTGGGCTTTGGGAGAGCTGGCCTTTGTCTCCAACACATCATGAACTGTTAATGGGAATGAGCAAGACTAAATGACTGAAAGGTCAAAGAGAGAATCCAGTCAGTTTCCCTGCATTGTCCCCTGGATGTGTCTGACACAGGAAAAATTGAAGTAATCATTGCTTATTAAAGGGAATGGAAATGCATTGCTAAACAAAAATATTATTAAATCCGGTAACTATTGTACACATAGAATGTTGACATATTGGAAAAAGTCAATATTATATTTTCTTTTTTTAAAGATTATTTATTTGAAAGTCAAAGCAGAGAGGCAGAGGCGGAGAGAGAGAAAGAGAGGGAGAGAAATGGGAAGAGAGAGAGAGAGACAGAGAGACAGAGACAGATACAGAGAGACAGAAAGACAAGAGAGAGGTTTTCCATCTGCTGGTTCATTCCCCATATGTCCGCAACAACCAGAGCTGGGCTGATATGAAGCCAGGAGCCAGGAGCTTCTTCTGGGTATCCTATGCAGGTGCCCCAACCCAAGGATTTGGGTAATCTCCCACTGATTTCCTAGGCCTTAGCAGAGAGCTGGATCAGAAGTAGAGTAGTCAGAACCTGAACCAGCACCCACATAGGATGCTGGCACTGCAGGCAGCAACTTTACCTGCAATGCAACAGCACCAACCCTACATGATGGGATCTGGGATGATATGATAAGCCTTTTAAATTTCATAGAAAATATATATTATGGAAAAGCCATGCATGGATGTAAATATATTTCGCTTCAAAATCTTATTTTTAATTGAATTCTTGCAAAAGCTTCTTGAAATGCCCTGTATATTATGCTAAGAAATATTTTTAAACCCTATGTTGTTTTTGTATGACTCCATTTTCAATGTGATACTTACTTGCCTTTTCTAATGCTGTACATTATGACTAAGAAGAATATAAAACTTCGCATCTGCAGTTGTTAAATTTTGGACTTCAAAATCAGAAATGTCATCTATTGGAAGTTAAAGATGTTAATCCTCTAGTCTCTCCTAG